TAATTTTTTCTGAAATTTTTGAAAAAAATCACAAAAAACGTCATATTTGGAGGCAAGAATCGCAATCTTAGAGAGTACTCTGACAGGACCAAACTACAGGGTTGGGAATTTCAGATTTGCAAAAAAAATAAATACAAATTTTCTGAAAATTTTTTGAAAAAATCACAAAATACGTCATATAATAATAAAACAGAATTTAGGATACATCCATGAGAGTTAGCTCCCGAATCAAGTTTATGAGATCGATCATATTTTAGTTTAATGAGTTTAGTTTTTTGAAGTTTAAGCATCTTGTGCATCCGCAGTTGATTCTCCAGGTGCAGGTATCGACTTCATTGTAGATTTTCTCGTAGAATTGCCAGTACACTCTTGATACTTTTGGTTTAAACGAGTCACTTAATAGGACTTCATATTTCAGGTGATCGTGAAATATGTTTGTCAGGCTGCAGGCGCGTTGCCAGAAATCAGATTCGCATTTATAAAGTCGAAAGTTCTTCGCGTTGAAACGTCTTGTTGTTTTCGGTCGATTTGATTCAGTGATTTCTATAAATCGCCACCATTCCAGGTCGGTCTTTCCTCTTAGAATGTTCGCGAACAAAAGTAGTACATGCATTTCTTGGTAAAGAGACAAGGGAAGAATTTGAAGAGTGGTTAACCTCGATTTATAAGGAATTTGTTTATTTCCAAGTACCCATTTCGTTGCTCTCTGTTGCACTTTTTCTACGGTAGCAAGATCTTGCTTTGAGGGTTTCCAGACTGATGATGCATAGCTAACGATAGGTACTAAAGCATTTTTTCAGGAGGTAAAAACCATAATGGGCGTCTAGTTTGTCAATGACATCCGAGATTTTTTCAAGCTCCCTAATTTTTTCGTCGAGCAATTCTTTTCGGCAAAGTTCGCCGATTGGAGATCCTAAAATGAGGAGTTCTTCTTTTGTTTTTATTTTTATTTTGGGGCATATTTTTCGAAATTGTGTTAAAATTGAATTATACTGTGTACTAGTAGTCGGTCCCAAAAAACAAAGTTCACACTTCTCAGTGTTTAAGCTCAGGCCGTAAATTTGTTCCGATTTCAGAATGTTTTTAAGGTCCCGGAGTACTACCTTATAGTCGTCGGCTAAATTCCCATCATCTAAATACCAGATGTTAATTTTCGACTCCAACTGTTTGACTAGTGTATGAATTGTTTCCGCAAAAAGGGGTGGGGCTTCAGGATCACCTTGCTGAGTTCCGTCTTCTGACATTATGACAGAGCTTCCGTAAAAAAGGTAACTAGGTTTACCATACGCGCAATGGGTGTAATTATACAATTCGGGGCGATTTGAAAAAACATGATTCAGCATTGTTTCTCTGTTTAAAGAGTTAAAGGCATTCTTAAATTCTAGTTTTAAAAGAACAGTACATTTTGGATTGTCGTCGCGTTCAATTAGGTTTCGAAACGAGTGCGCAGCTATTTCTGCTCCTCGTTTGGTACCGCATCCTACCTGTACGTTTCCGAAAAAATTTTTCTAAGGTGGCAAGATCTTGCTTTGAGGGTTTTCAGACTGATGATGCATAGCTAGCGATAGGTACTAAAGCATTTTTTCAGGAGGTAAAAACCACAATGGGCGTCTAGTTTGTCAATGACATCCGAGATTTTTTCAAGCTCCCTAATTTTTTCGTCGAGCAATTCTTTTCGGCAAAGTTCGCCGATTGCAGATCCTAAAATGAGGAGTTCTTCTTTTGTTTTTATTTTTATTTTGGGGCATATTTTTCGAAATTGTGTTAAAATTGAATTATACTGTGTACTAGTAGTCGGTCCCAAAAAACAAAGTTCACACTTCTCAGTGTTTAAGCTCAGGCCGTAAATTTGTTCCGATTTCAGAATGTTTTTAAGGTCCCGGAGTACTACCTTATAGTCGTCGGCTAAATTCCCATCATCTAAATACCAGATGTTAATTTTCGACTCCAACTGTTTGACTAGTGTATGAATTGTTTCCGCAAAAAGGGGTGGGGCTTCAGGATCACCTTGCTGAGTTCCGTCTTCTGACATTATGACAGAGCTTCCGTAAAAAAGGTAACTAGGTTTACCATACGCGCAATGGGTGTAATTATACAATTCGGGGCGATTTGAAAAAACATGATTCAGCATTGTTTCTCTGTTTAAAGAGTTAAAGGCATTCTTAAATTCTAGTTTTAAAAGAACAGTACATTTTGGATTGTCGTCGCGTTCAATTAGGTTTCGAAACGAGTGCGCAGCTATTTCTGCTCCTCGTTTGGTACCGCATCCTACCTGTACGTTTCCGAAAAAATTTTGTCGCTCGGAGAGGGCCTTGCTTCCAGCGCATTTAGACGCGATACGTCTCAGCGTGTTGCCTATGGCAATCGGTCTCAACCCTCCGTCTATTTTTATGAGGGCGATAATCTTTGCGCCAAAAAAGAAAGGTCTTAGTGGTTCCGGTATTTTGCCATCTCCAATGAGGTTTATCAGCTTAGTACGCGATTTCAGAAAATTAAGTCCTGCACTGCCATTCGACTTACTAACAAGATCTTTAAAAATTTGAGGAAATATTTTATCAGGACCTGCTGCTGATCCGTTTGGAAAAGACATTATCGCTTTGTATAGGTCGAAATCGGTTACAAAAAAACTATCCAATTTTTCTGGATTTGGAGCTGCAAATTTGGCTCGCTGCGGGTGCTTAGACAACAAATTTTTGATAGTTATCAGTTGAAAAAGGAGCTATTTTGTCATCTGAAGCAGCAAGCCTTATTCCTCCCTTTACATTTCCTTCATCGAGCTTACTACTTATTAACTTTATTCTCTGCTCGAGGTCACTCAGAGGCGGGCTTGAAACTTGGGGATGGGGTTTTGGAAGTGACACGTCATTTGCTCGAATTTTTTTATTTATCAAAGAGCTCATGCTTGTGGTCTGTTTGCGTCCACTTCTTTTCGGTTGCTCCAAAAAAAACAAGAACGACGTTAAAAAAATTAGCCATTTTGTAACATCTTCTATATTGTAGACGATGTCATATATTTTGTCCGACAGACTTTCCGCCAAGGGAACACGCGAGTCTTTTGGTACTCTCTTGAGTACTCGGACATTTGAGATGGCTGTATTAACATAATTGTCTAGCACTAAATCATTACCTATTGTTGCTTTATTAACAGATTTTACATCAACGCATAAAGGACACTGAAACCATTGGGTTTTCTTAGAGTCGCTAAGAGAAATATTTACACAACTGATATGATACCAACTAGAACAACAATCACATCTAATCCAATTTATCAGTCCTGAAGGTTTTAAGCAATCTTTGATGTACACTCTTTGTTGTTTTTCCTCATCTTGACGCAGCATAAAGGTTAAAAAAAAAGGATTTTGACTGGACTTTAGGGGACTGAACTAACCCATGATAAGCGGTTAGTGGGAATTCTACAAATCAGCAAATAAAAAAGACAACTAAATTAATTTAAAAGGTTAAAAGGTTAAAAGGCAGCATAAAGGTTAAAAATCAAAAACAAGGAACAATCTCACCCGAGCTCAGTAGGTTCAGCGGCGCACCACCAGACTTCTCAAGCCAGTTCCAGTTCCCCACCTCCCCACAGAAAGCCACTTGACAGACCTGTCTCTAAAATCCCTCAGAGGGCGCTCCACATACAGGCACAAACATCAAACATAACAAATCTATTTAATAAGTTTATCGCAACAATTAGGCTAAAAGGTTCAACGCGTTCCAAGATAGATTTGGATCCCAATGGTTGAACGTCATCCCCTGCAAAAATTTAAGGTTAAAACTGTCGAACCAACAACTCAGAATTGCGATAGGACTTCGATTAGGATCAAAAATATGCGAACGGCATAAATGCGTGTGCGGAAAAGACGTTACCGAGGATGGTTGGCATGGTCTTTCTTGCCTCAAAAGTGCAGGGAGATTCTCTAGGCATTCAAACCTGAATGCCCTTATAAAGCAGAGTCTATCATCTACTCACATTCCGTCTGTTTTAGAACCACGACACCTCTACAGGACCGATCAGAAGCGCCAGACGGTTTGACGCTCGTTCCATGGGCTGATGGTAAGCAGCTCTTGTGGGATGTAACGGTAGTAGACTCCTTAGCTCCTTGTAGGATTAATGCCGGGTCTGTTTGTAACCCTGGTACGGCTGCCGCTGAAGCGGAAGAGCAAAAAATTGACAAATATAAAGATCTTGTAAATGATGGATATCTTTTTCAACCGCTAGCTTTTGAAATTCAGGGCGCGGCCGGCCCCAGCACAGAAGTTTTTTTGAGCAAGCTTTGTAAGAACCTAAGCATATGCACTGAGGAACCCAGAGCAGGCAGCTTTTTAAAACAGAGAATCTCCCTGGCAATACAGATTGCGAACGCCGCTTGCGTACTCGGAACTATAAATGACAAAATAACTTTCGACGAAATTTTTTACTTGTAACACTTGTATATTATATTATCTCGTGTCGAGTTGCGTGTTCTTATCGAAGAAGCGTAACCCGTATCGATTTTAAATGAAAAGGACTTAAACACTTAACATCTTCTTTTATCATTATCACTTCCATATCTAGAAAATTCCAAGGATTTTGACTGGAATACATGATGAAGGGACTCATGACTGTAACCTCGGTTACTATGATACTTTTGACCTTCTGATTACCTTGTGAAAAAAAAAGAATAAAAAAAAATAGTTTGTTCAATTAATAGAAAACCCTGATGGAATTTCAATAAATGTTGTTTTATTGGATATGTTTTAAGAAGATTTTTTTAACATTCAATTGACCATTTGAAGCACCGTAGTTGCGGTTCTTGCGCTAATTAAGTATAATTGATATGTACAATCATTTATCTCTTATTTTACCTTCACCGAATATTGACTTACACTTGCATCTGAAAACAATTTTATTGTTCAATTAAAGTGTGTATATTTTCATGTATAATAGACTATTCAGTTGTCATTTTTTGGAGTTCAAATTAGATTGACCATCTGAAATGATAGTTGATAAGAAACCTTTCAGATGTGTTGTTGGCGATGGTTTATTTTTCTTATATTCTTCGTCGTCACATCGGAAGCGTCTGTCCCTGAGCTGATCATAGTCTCAACCGTTGATGGCTATCTCAGAGGAGTTGATGTAGCTTCTGGGAATATTCACTGGTCACTGAAAGTTACGGATGAGTCAATTCCAACTCTCGTGTCATCCAGTTTAGATCAAATTCAAATTTACGACGAACAGGATGGATATGTCCGTTTAATTCCTAGTTTTAAAGGTGACTCGCATTCTAAGATAGTGATGATTTATTGTCTTGTTTGAGGTCTAGAGTTGAATTCATTCTTGAGTTTGTTTCATAGGCGAGCTCTTCAAGTGGAATGGCGAGAGTTTGAGGCAGTTTCCTACAAATGCTGATCTTCTATTGTCGAGTTCAAAGAAGTTGACCGAAAACACATTCGCTTCAGGTGCAATATCATTCCAAAGTTTAGCCATATCTCTGGCCGACGGAAAGCTGCTATACCGTTGTCACGGAAGTAGGCCATGTTCAAGAGAAGGCGACCAAAAGACATCCAACAGTCCTGACACTAATGAAAAAGATTTGGGCGGGGGCGATTTTCCAGACGAAGTAGTAATAGTCAGAAGCACTCAACGAACAGTTAGAGCCATTGACGAATATAGTGGAACTGAAAGGTGGAACTTCAGGTTAGAGTCTGACCTTAGACTTCTCATTCCAAATGCTGGTTTTAACCCTTTTTTCATTTTTCCAGTTTTTATTGATCTAGAAGAAGTTCTCGTAGTAACAACATGTGTATCAAAATCAACGAATGTGTAAACCTTTAGACCTATCTGACCAATCGATATATTTCGAGCATGCCACCGTTTTTAACTCCCATTGTATTGATAACTTTTGTTTATGGGGGTTGTAAAACCAACTCTGAATTTATATTATTGTTCTGACTTCCGAAGAAAGGGAAAAATATATTTAATATATGCTTGGTGTTTTTTTAATCAGATCAATGTCATTAAAATATTTTGCTCAACATTGCAGCCACTATATTAAGTTGACTTTCTGATCAATCTGAAACGAATCTAATTAAACTGCCCGTTGTTTTATATTTGCCGAGATAGTAACTCGAATGATATGAGCAGTCTTGTTTTCTGTTTTTTTTTTTGCTCAAAGTGATTATTCGCCATAAAAGGCTTCTGCTTATCTTATGGAATAGTGATTTATCGTCAATATACTTATTTATAAAGATCGTGTTGATTTTCCTCCGTTTCTTCTTCATGAAAAAGTCTTAAACCGGCTAGGACCCCTAACGCCGTGGTTCCACTTCCAGACTCCACCTGTTTTCGCAATAAATAATTTAAATGTAAACCCCGTTTTATATTTTCTGTTTTAAAGTGTCTGGCGTTTTTTTTTTCAAACCATCTGTGAAAGTATTTCTTGCTAATTTGTTATGTATTGATTGTGCTGACTTGCGTGTAATAAGTCTCTGTAAGTAGGAGTAGGACTTTTTTTCCTGTAACGAAAAAGTTATCTTTTGGTGTCTTGGAAAAGGCTGCTTTGCTTCCATGTTTTTCTAAATCCTAAATTCGTTGATGTCATAGCATATATCTACAATAAATTGAGCTTTGACATATTCTTCCTTTCAGTGTGACCGACGTGGATGTGCAATACAACGCAGCAGAGAGAACTAATTCAGGGTTCCTAGGGAATGTCGCCCCTCTCCCGCCAATAGACTCATTCTTCCGAGCATTCCAAAGCTCCGTGCCTGAATGCACTGAGGAACTACTGACGATCAAAATCATGACTCCCGAAGGCGCTTTGTTTGGATTCGATGATATCAACGGAGAAGTGACGTGGACTCGACACCTGAAGAGTCCTATCGCGGGCGCTTGGAAGTACCATTGCAGATCTCTAGTCAAACTGGATCTCTCGGATCCATCATTGGTGCCGGACTTGAATCCTAATACCAAATCGGAGGACCCGGAATCCTTTAAGAAGCGTCCGTCGATGTATCTGGGGTCGTTCAATAATATGTGGTATGTTCAAGTGTTTCACTCGCCAATCGATATTCCAACGACTCACACGCCAAATCTTAGCTTCAACCATAACATGCTTTATGCACAGTCAAAGCATTCTTGGGTGCCTTACATAGCCACGTCACCATCTAGAACACCCTATCTCAACCAAAAGAACAGTGTTTTATTATTGGACCAATCTTCAGTGGAAGAGTTTTCAACAGCGCTGATGCCAATAAATCATGAAATATCATACCCATATGATGCAGGGTTCTCCATTCATCAGCAGAAGCAACTTAAAGATTATGAATCATCGGTGGGGTTTTATTTTGTTTTGGACAGACCTAGTTACTTTGACTATAAAACGCGTCAACAAATCACACACGACCACGGGGATAGGTTGGTTAATTTCTACGAAGACAGTTACTTGCCAAACACAGAAACCATTCTAGCTTTTGTTCCCGTTTCGCTTTCATATTACTGGAAACAAATTGCGGCTATTACAGTTACATTAGCTATTCTGTTCAACATTATCATTCGAATATACGATCACCTTAGAGGTCAAAAATGTCCATTAGAAGGCGCAAAAAACGATTCCAACCAGTCTGTTGAACGTCTTTATTCTACAGAAAGTAATGGAAATGTTTCGAAATTGGCTTCAGGTTTTAATGAGTACTTCATTTTTACAGAAAAGTTGGGGAAAGGTGGTTTTGGACAAGTATATGTGGCAAAACATAAATTGGATCTTCAAAGATACGCAATAAAGAGAATAGAACTGCCGAGAAATATCGAATCTGCTGACAAAATGCGCCGAGAAGTGAGAGCTTTGTCTAGACTAAATCACACGCATATAGTGAGGTATTACAATTCGTGGGAAGAAACGCAAAGCAGGGATTCAGACGATATTTTGGCCTGTTTAAACTCGGATTCGGTAACTGAAAGCACGTCGTTTCCTCGTGTTGTCAATTCGTATGACCCAGTTTCGATCAGTAATTTGCTGATGCAAAATGGAGCGGAATCTAATCATAAACAGTTGCGCAGTATAACGTCTGTCGGAAGCAGAGGTGATGAAGATGACGAAACTAGTAATACTAACCAGAAATACATGATATCTTACATAGAAACCTCCGATGACGATTTGATCAAATTCGAAGCTTCAAATCCTTTGGAACAACAACTGAAACAGCGAAAACTTCAAGAAATGAATGGAGAAAGTGTTAATCTTGAAGAAGTTTCGAAGCAAAGTGAGTCAAAAATGAGTGAAAACGTAGATTCTGAGACAACAAAGAATTTACGGAAAGATTCTCTTAGGTCGTATTTGTACATTCAAATGGAACTTTGTCGACCAAATACTCTCAAAGATTGGCTTATGGACGAAATGGAGCGAGATCGAAATATTAGTCTTCATATTTTTCACCAAATCGTTCAGGCTGTTAATTATGTACATACTGCGGGACAGTTTCATCGGGATCTGAAACCATCTAATATATTTTTCTCCGAAAAGGAAGCTTTGGTTAAAGTTGGTGATTTTGGGCTCGTAACTGGCTGTTTAGAATGGTCAGACAATGACAATAATTCCAGTCAGGATTTTCTGCAGCTGCGAAACTCGTCCTCTCATGATTTGAGCACAATTCAGAAATCAAACAGCAGCAGCGGAACTTCATTAAAACACACCAGTAAAGTTGGCACAAAAATATACATGAGTCCAGAACAACGCAAGGGTCGATCATACGATAACAAAGTGGATATTTATGCTCTGGGTTTAATATTATTTGAACTGCTTCAACCTTTTGCGACCGAATCCGAACGAATTGTTAAGCTGAAAGATGCTCGAAGTTTGAAATTTCCGAGTTACGAGTTAAAAGATGTGGCTGCTATTTACACTGAAGATGATATCGAGTTGATGAAACGAATGCTGAGTGTTGACCCTGCGAACAGACCTTCAGCTGAAGAACTTGCCCAGGATCGAATATTGAATTCCTACAAGGAGCCTACTCCAGCAGCAAGACTGGAAAAATTATCCAGGTCGAAATCAAGGTCGTCTAGTAATATGGAGACTAACTCGTCATCAGCACACTTATGACATGAACTCTGCAATGTGATTTGTCTTCATTTTCACAAGGGTTTTGTAGTTTTTTGGTAACTCGGGCGCGGATTTTCAACCAAATTTTGTCAACCAAGGTTATCATTCTTTTCTTAAATAACTGCAAATTTTTTGATGCAAACATGAAAATCCTATGAGCTAAAGTTTTCGGCGGTCATAAATATAGCCGGACATATTTTTTTTCTTCAAATTTGCGAACATGTTTGGGAAGAAGCGCCGTGTATGCACATATGGTTCCCGAGCACTGGTGAATTTGAATCAACAGTTTTTCGATATGTATGCTTAAAAAACAGCCTTTAATTGAATTATTTCACAATAAATTCTGTACAAATTATGTTAATGTATCAAATTGATAGTTTACTCTCGATTAATTTTCCATCGCCGTCGATCATTAGAAAATCCTAAAAGGAAAATTTTTGGGTATTAATCAGCCTTTAAGTTTAAAATTTTTTAAAATTCAACTCTGGGTTTTATCTGGAAAGTTCTGCGCTAAATATTTGATGTTGGGCGAGCATGTGGAAAGCAGTGAGCTTATGGTATTAACAAAATCAGTTAAATGATTCATTTGTTGTTATTAATTTTCACTTATTAATATGCGTTTGTATAGTTTTTTCGCCACCAATGAAATGTGGTAAGTTGAGACTTGAAAGGACTGCATTTGAATTTCAAGTGTCAGTTGACGTGGACATTTAGATGGCGATGTGCTGTTGGTTTCATTTGTTATCCATTCTCCATAGAATATTAAACCAGAATTTAATAAAAACCGAAAACATGCGCATTAACATTTAAAAAAAGTAGCGTTTTTTTTAAACCAAAAGCTATATGCTGGAAAATAGTACAAAATATTGAAGATTTTTTGTTGAAATTTGAATCCTGATGTGGACTGTTAGATACGCATACAACCTCGAGCTAAAAAAAGTTGATAGCTAAACCCTAATCACTTCGAAAAACGCAGAGTCCTTGCAAGCTCTTAACTGGAACCAAGTTAACATCCTCTCCCTTAGTGTTTAAGTGTAATTTTAAGTTTCAGTCAACCAGAATGGATTATTTCAAACCGGAGTAAGCAGTTTTAATTAAATCAAATAGTGGCAGGAAGATCTTAACCTTGATTCTACAATAATTAGGATTGCTAGACTCTCTACTTAACGTAGCGAAACTTCAATACTCGACGAAATAATTTAACGATGCTGGTCAGAAACTTGAAAAAACCTGCATCTTCATAATGTATTGAAATCATGTTGATTTTTTTTCGGTTTTTTTCCCAGGAAAGTTAGTTAATCATGCTCAAAATTCTATCTTAATTTTTACACAAGCAATGCTTGATTTATAGTATGAACTATCTTTTTTTCCAACCTAAGTCGCAAATATTGTTGCGACGCAAATTTTGCGATAAATTGTGTTCATTTTGAAAGTGTTAATTTTGATCAATAACCAGGTATTAATATGACCCAAGTAATAGCCAATGATAAAGATTTTAACACACTATTATTGTTCCGACTTTCGTAACGGAATATTTGTGCTCGGGGTGGTTTTTTTCTTCAGACAAATTTCGACTTTTTATTAGCCATTTTTGACGGGATTTTTTTATATCATTCAAAAAATATTTTTGTCCTGAGCTCAAATTTGGAAATGGGGGTTTAAAAAAGGACATTTTGGCCAATTTGGGACAATTAACGCGCGATATATTTCGCGCTAATAACGCGTAAGCGGAGATTTAATCCGTCATAGAAATTGTTCCAAATTGGTTGAAGGAAGCTTATTTGACATAATTGATTTTTTTTATTAGGATCGAAGTTTATCAGTTTGTACTTAAAATGGCGTGTGGGGGGATGATTTTCACAAAAAATCTCAAATTAAAAAAAAGTTCAATGTATTTTTGTTACATTTACATTTCTCCATTTACTGCTCCATAGACTGCTCTATAAATTGAGGTATGTTAGTTAGTAATTTTTTTTCAAATTGACTGGTACTGCACTGCAATGCGTCATAAGGGGCGTGCGTCACTTAAAAAATATTGTGGACGCAAAATTTTACTCATTCAGTTTTTCAAAAGCGTTATTTGTCAGATTTTTGCTTGTGTATGCGAAGTGTAACTGCGCCTATGTGTTTTAAGTTGTCTTTCAACAAAATTTCGAATGGTGCAAAAAATAGAAAATGAACTTTCAAACATGGTTTTATTTTTCTAGAATTCTAAGTTAAAAGAAAAACATTTGTTTTAATCCTGTTTTCGTTTTCTCTAAATTCATCTATATCTATTTGTCCATCTGTATCTATATATCAATTCATCTATTATTCATCTATCGATGTATCTATCTATCGCTCTATTTTTCTATCTATGAGAGCATCGAATCTGATTATTAGCAGTTTCGACTATCATCAGTATCACTCAATCTATTCTCAAATGCCAACAGCGCGCCAGATCATCAGGAGTCTCAGACGTCACATCATCAAATAGAAACAGCTTGTTTTTTTTAATCAATAGTCTCAAATGCCAGGCATTCTTTAACTTGCAGTCTCAAACGTCACCTGCAGTCTCAAACGCAAGTAGCGCAGAATGTTCTCACCATTTTCTTAAAAAACACAAAAACGGTTTTCTCTAGAACTCGGGACATATTCGGCAGTCATAAAAATAGACTAATTGAAAAACAATTTTTGTAGAGAAATGAATGGGAAAACGAAAGAAAAAATTCAAATTTAGTAGAAATTTTTTTAATTTTGAAAAAATGTTTGAAAGTTTTGATTCACAAAAATTACAAAAACAAACTCCATTAACTAACTTTACTCGACTAAAACGTTTATCTTTGGGAGAATTATTTGAATTGGTTCTATAGGCCAATTACATTTAGATTCATCTATGAGTGAATTGAGATAACTTGCGTGTAGAACGATTTTTACTGATTCTCCTTTAGCTAAAATTATAACGGGATTTATGACTGTGTTTCCTTTTGGTTGTTCTTCTTTAATTACTGGGGAAATAATTTCATCTTGTTCTAGTATATCTAGTAATCTATTAACTTTATCTTGCAAGTGAATTGGGACTTTACTTGCTCGTTGCTTTTTGAAAATTAGCTCAGGTTTCAGAGGCAGATGTAGTGGTGAATTTACTTTTCCAACATCAAATTTAGATGTGGCGGAAGCCACTGGGTATTTTAGTAGTAATTCGGCTAGTCGTTCAAATTATTTTTGTGTAATTTGAGAATGTTGAAAATTGAACATTGCGAGGAATTTTTGTTGTTCAGTGGTGTATTTTGATATCTGAAATGTTGGTTTAAAATAAGGTGTTTTTGTAAAATAGTCTGTGTTCCGTTTCTTATCACTTATTATATTATTAATTGATAATTCTTCATTAAGAAGTGTTGATTGGCATATATCTAGTAATTTCAATTTTTTATTTACTCTATTTGCTACTTCTAATGTGGGAGAAATTGTTGCATTTGTTTCGCAATAACCCAGAAGTCCTAGAGGTAATGTTATTTTGTATGGGGAATTTTTGTATACATGGAATGAAACTATATCTGAATTTGTAGTTTTCGTGTATTTGATGGATGAGACTGTTTCTCGGAAATTTTTGTAAATTGGCTTGATTCAAGGTCTGACATATAAAGTCGTTGTTTATTCTGTTTCATGTTATATTGATGGAGTTGGCTCACTGAAAAGTTATATACATCTCCTGCTAGTGATTTCAGGTGTTTTCGTTCTTGGTTATATGTAGGGTAGAATTTGAAGAAAGATGGCGGTTGTTTATTTAGTCTTTGGAAGGCTGTAAGTGATGAGTTTTTTGTGTATTTGTCTTTTGTGTATTTTGCTATTTAAAATATTAATAGTGGGAATCTATTTAGTGATAAATTGCATTCCAACGTTATTGTGTTTTATATCTGTGATGTGAATTTTTTGTTGAAAAGGTTTGGTTAAAAGTTTATTCTGTTCCGATGTTCGAGTGAGAACAAGGAATAGTTGGACTTTTCCAAAATCAGTTAAACTTTTGATCCTCGTGCTGGAGCTAATTTGGTTGAGGTTTTAGAGGGTATTAATTTTGGGTGAAGGGTTTGTATTTCATTCTATGTGGGAATGTTTATTACATTTGATTCTGCTCCTGAGTCTATTAAAAATTCAGTTTCGAGGTCTGGTGATTGAAAGTTTTCACTCTTTAAAAGAAGTGGGATTGTCCAAATTTTTCTTTGGGTAATTGTATTTTATTTGATATTTTCTGATATATATTGTTTGTGCTTGAGCTTCCTTCAAACTCTTGTTAAGTAGAGTCTGTTATTTCTTGAATATTATCAGGGTTTTGGAAGTAGTTAGTATTGTTTTGGTAATAATTCGATTATATTGGTGCTTCGTATTCGTTTTCAATCTGAAGCATGTTTATTGAAAGCGTATTTTCTGTTTCGCTCTCTTCGTTTGTGGGTTCGCAAGTTACGTGATTTAGGTGTAACTCTGTGGTTTCTGTGTTATCAATACCGGGAGGGTTTGATTGAGTTTCTTCAGTTGATTGTACTTGGTTAATTTGTCTTTGATGTTTAGGTGTACTACTTCTATAGTTTTGTTTTGAATTTTGATATTGTGTATTATTTCTGTGCGGTGATTGAGAAAAATTTCTTTGTCCATTTTGAATATACGAATTTCTATTTTGAGAATTGTCACGTGATCTTTTGTGATAATTAATGATGTTTGATTTAATATTTGAATATTTTGGTGATCTGTTATTTTGATATTGTCTATTCCTATTGTTTGAATAGTTTCTTTTTCTATTGTATGAGGAGATTCTAGAACGATCATCTGAAAAATTTTGTTTCGGGGGTTTGAGTTTGAACGATTCCTGTTATAATTTGAGTATTTGCTTCTTCTTGAGTTTGATCTTGAATAATTTTTTCTATATTGATTGTTTTGACTGTTTGATCGACTAAATCTGTTTTGTGAGAAACTTTGATCTGGAGATCAAATTTTTTTGATCTGGAGATCTTCCGCGATAGTTATATCTGTAGCGTGATTGTTGTCTAGAGGCATTATAGTTATCAGGAAGTGGTTTGCCTGAACTATTGTTTTTGTAAATGTTTTTGTTTGGTAGATTTTGGTCTTTTTTCATGAATTGGTAAAATGATTTATTTGGTTCTCTATGTTT